CTCAAGTGGTATAGTGCTGGCCTTGAGCTGAAGAGCTGAGGGACAGCGCCCAGGCCCAGAGTTTAGGCTCCCTGACTGACAAAAAAAAAAAAAATATATATATATATATATATATATATATATACACACACATACATACACATATATATATGTATGTATGTTTAAGTACTTGTACAAAAAAGTTACGGTTTAACAGATCACTTTATGAATACATCTCTCTTGATCAATGTCGCCCTTTCATTATTTTCCCCATCTCTCCCAACTCATCCCCTCACTTCAATTTTCTTTTTTTTCTTTTTTTTTGGAGGTAAGAGTCTCATACACTTTGCTGCCTAGGCTGGTTTTGAACTGTGATCCTCAGATCTCAGCCTTCTGAGTAGACAAGATTACGGCTATGAGCTACCAGCACCTGGCTTAAAAATTATTTTTGTTGGCAATGTATTTCACAAAGTGATTTTGTTGTTGTTGTTGTTTCTTTATTAGTTGTAGGGTCTGATCTTTGGGCTTGGGCGCTGTCCCTCAGCTCTTCAGCTCAAGGCTAGCGCTCTACCACTTGAGCCACAGCCATTTCTGGCTTTTTCAGCTTATGCGCTGAGGAAGTGAACTCAGGGCCTCATGCATGCAAAGCAAACACTCTGCCACTGAGCCACCTTCCCAGCCCAGTGATTGGTTTTATTATATTTCTTTGTATGTACAGATTATTGTGAATTTTGCTAAGATTTCCAGGTTTAATCTTTTAGAAAGGCTTCTCTACTCCTGAATTTTCTTTTCTTCCCTAGTACTGGGGTTAACTTGTGCTTTACTCTGTTTACTTGCTTGTTTGCTTGGTATTCCACTTGAGTCCACACCTGTAGCCCAGCTTTTTGCTGGGTATTTTAGAGATGGAGTCTAGCAGATTTTGTTGCCTTTGCTGGCTTTGAACTTTGATCCTGTTAATTTCAACCTCCTGAGTAGCTGGCCAGTTTCATTTTTTTCATATTTATATCCTTACTGCTATTTTGAGCAACTATTTGCAAAGTTAACAGGTATTTCTATGTAGTCAGGTATAGTACAAGTTGTATAGAGACTCAGCTTTCTGACATTTTTTGTGTTTGGAAAGTTGTGGGTCTGTACTGCACATGTGTCTTTACTGGTTCTTAGAAACACACTGGTCATAGTCTTTCTCTTCTTCCCTCCTTGTCCAGGTCCACAGGATGATTGCTGAGTTCAAGCTGATCCCTGGACTCAATAATTTGTTTGACAAGCTGATTTGGAGGAAACACTCAGCATCAGCCCTTGTTCTTCATGGTCACAACCAGAACTGTGACTGTAGCCCAGTAAGCAAGGGACCCTGGGGACATTTGTGATTTTACTTGCTAGAAGTAGTTGTTTCAAGACCTGCTGGCCCATGATCTCTGGTTCTTTGGGACTAGAGCAGAAACTGAAAATTTTGTTACATGATCCCATAGTGGACCAGCCTGTACCAATCAATGTGTCTGCCTTTGCTGAAATCCCTTTGAAGATGTGCCAGTTCCCTCTATACCTCTAGGTATAGAGCAGAGCTGCTTTATTTGGTGCTCTGTCCTCTGATACAGCTTTTACCCCTAGGTTCTACACACCAGTAATGTCTTAAGTCAGGCAATGCTTTGAGATGTAGTGTTTTGTTTTTTTGTTTTGTTTTTTGGGGGGTTTTTGAGGCCAAGAATTCACCTCTACCTTACATTTCCCACAGTGCCCTAGACAGAGCACTGCATTGGGAGTCAGAGGCCTTTCATGCCACTCAGCTTATTGGAAGAGATTGAATAAGTCATTGAGCCCTTTCTTCCAAAAGGAAGATTATGTGCCTCCTTGGCGTTGGGTGATGTTCTACCTACCAACATGGGAGAAAAAGTACCCTGGACTTCTAAGTGCTATGCACCTGCAGGACATAGCATGGCTCCTGACCTCTGCCTTGTGGGCATTCCTGTGTTTCACCTCCAACACTCCTCCCCCCTCCCCCCCCCCCCCCCCCACACAAATATTTCATCTGTTTTTT